TAACACTAAGGGATGCAACCCTTCAGAAAAACGAGAAAGAAAACCGTCTAGTCCGTCTCGTAGCAATGTGGCGCCAGTTTGAAGCGCTGCGGCGCTTGAACCTCTATCTTGATCCACTACAATGTTATATATATGCCGTTGCGGCGCTCTGCTCTCTATCGTTCTGCACCGGGGCGATCGGGAACACAGCACTAGGTGCTCGGGTACACAGCTCTAGGTGCTCGGGTACACAACAAGGGGGTGTTGTACCGAAAAAAATTTCAGGTGCACCCCTAGCCAAAATGAGAAACTTGAGGTCCGAGGCAACGAAACAACTCAATTGATCAACACAATCAGATTCCACACAAAACTTAGGGGACACTTAAAATTCCCTTCAGTTTATTTGATAGAACATAAAAATAAAGTTTAATACAAAAGGGATATTTAGATGGGTGCCCATGAGTACAAGTCAAGTATATGGGTGCTCAGGTGTGACAGCTTGCGGATGGGTGCCCATGAGTGGAAGTTATCATGGCAGGTGAATAATGGCATGGCTGATAGAAGATGTACACATGTCATTAAGGTGGCAGTCGTCACATAACAAATTAAATGTGTCATCTTGTGAGAAACAACAAGTTGTCCAAGAGTGGGATACAGGGAAGTCGTCTCCCAAAGTTAACGAGTCTGTCTTGCAAGAGACGATGACTTTCAAGAGGAAACAACAGATAGAGTATTTGTTAGGTAGAAGACTTGCTAGGGGTGGAAGACGAGTTGTGGTTGTTAGCTTGATGGATGTAGCAATGGTTATGGAGAAGCCATTAGGTTGTAGATGACTTAATTGATGTGGAGAGTGACTGGTACCTGCCAAGTAAAAGCACTTCTAACCACCTAAGGCTTCGTTTGGGACAACTTTCTTTATGCTTCGTAAAATGATTTTTTAGTACAAAAATTTTAAGCTTTATATTAAAAAGCTGTTTTAAGAAGTAATAAGAAAGCCGTCCCAAACGAAGCCTAAGTTGGGTACTAAGACCCACCTCCAATGGTCTTAAGAGGTTACCTGTAGAAACAAAATTGTTAACAAAAGGGTTACTGATCGTTGGATTATATTATTGGACTACTAGAAAAGGGCACCAGGGTGGAGACCCGACAATGGCAAAAGGAGTGGCCAAAACACATGAGAGTAAAGACAAAGGTGTTGGAGAAAAGTTATTTTTAGGAAAATGAACCTCTCAAGGACCTTGTTGTAGTAAGCAAGATTATGATGCTAAGCACACATGACAAAGAGTTTTTATTCTGTGCGGACACCGGACCTTATTGTAGTAAGCAAGATTATGATGCTGAGCACGCATAACAAAGAGCTTTTATTCTGTGCGGACACCAGATGGTTCTCCCGTCCGGTTAAGCGCTCAGTACCGAGCGCGGCACATTTTTTGGGTGATGTGGCATAATTTTATTGGTCTCTGAATGCCCTTCGGACTCCGCACAGAATAATAAATCCATGACGAAACTCAGCTTGAGGAATGAGTCAACAAAAGGATAGTTCCGAGGAGGCCGTCTAATGAAATAAAATATCACAAGGCCATTGAAAAGAGGTATTTAGTGTGTTTCACATTCTCAGCTGGCTGAGCACACACGAGGCTTGTGAATGTAGAATTGGATGGATCGGCGGATCGTCGGAGCGAGCCGGAGACAAGGAAGATGAACAAGAAATGGAAAAGCTGTATTGTCTTATTCACCGTATCCGTTATACAATAGATAGTTTAAATAGATAAGAGATGACAGGTTGAACACGTGTCATTTTGTTATTGGCTACAATTGTGTAAGCTGTAATTATACTAAGCATCTATCCTAATAGCCCCTGTCAGACTGATGATTCATCTTGAATTGTGAGTTTGGAGCGGAAATCCTTGAATCGAGCGGTAGGAAGTGGCTTAGTGAAGATATCCGCGATTTGATGAAGAGTGCCGATCGGAGTGAGGCGGATGACCTGATTTTGAATGTGATCGCGGACGAACCGGTGATCAATTTCGATATGCTTCGTGCGGGCGTGATACACCGGATTGTGAGCGAGCGCGATTGCGGAGGTGTTGTCGCAGAAGAGCTCGATCGGCTGACTGTGTGGTATGCTGAAGTCGTTGAGCAGACGCTTGAGCCAAATGGTGTCGGCGGTAGCAGCTGCGAGTGCCCGGTATTCGGATTCTGTGGATGACCGAGCCACCGTCGTCTGCTTCTTGACCGTCCATGAGACGAGCGTGCTGCCGAGGAACGTGCAATGACCCGTTGTAGACTTTCTTGTTACAGGATCGCCTGCCCAGTCTGTGTCTGAGTAGGTAGAGAGATTGAGTGAACCTGGTAGAATGGATAGGCCGAACGACACTGTTCCTTTGATGGATCATGCAGGTGCTGAGAGAGGACGTTGACCGCGTGAGCAATGTCCGGACGGGTTAACGTCAAGTATTGCAGTGATCCTGTTACACGTTTGTAGGTCTCGATTGCGGATAAGTTGCTTTCGGTTGGAACCTGATCGGGAAGTTTCGTGCACGAGGGATTAGAGAGGGGGTTACAGTGAAGCAGATTCATTGAATTTAAAATGGATGTGGCATAAGCGGACTGAGAGAGGAAATACTTATCTTGAAGTTTTTGTATTTTGATGCCGAGAAAGTGATGTGCCAAACCGAGGTTCTTCATATTGAATTTATTGTGTAGTTTGGACAGCATGTCTGACAAGAGTGCTTCATTGTTCCCGGTCACCAGAATATCGTCGACGTATACGAGTAGAAAGATTAGAGTCGAGTCATGTTTGAAAGTGAGTAGAGAGGGATCCGCCGTGCTATAATGGAATCCGAGGTGAATTAAGTAATTCGTGAATGTGGTGTACCACTGTCTTGGTGCCTGACGTAAGCCATATATGGATTTTCGAAGATGGCAGACATGATCGGGAAATTCGTTGTCGATGAATCCTCTTGGTTGTGTCATGTATACTGTGTCTGTAAGCTGTCCATGGAGGAACGCGTTGGATACATCCAACTGCTGAACTGGCCACCCTTTGGACAGGGCGATAGTGAAGAGGACCCTTATGGTTGGAAGTTTGGCGACCGGACTGAACGTCTCGCCGTAGTCGATGCCGTACTCCTGCTGATTGCCCTGAGCGACCAACCGAGCCTTAAAGCGAGCCACGTTGCCGTCCGAGTTAAATTTCTTGCGGAACGTCCATTTGCATCCGAGGATGGGGGCGTTGGATGGAGGTGGGACAAGATCCCAAGTGCCTTGCTGTTGAAGTGCGACGAACTCGTCAGCCATGGCTTGCCTCCATTCCCTGTGCTTGGATGCTTCTTTGAAAGTGGTAGGATCAGGGTCGGAGTCCGCAGGATGTAGCGTGTTAGCCATCAAATTAAGGCGTTGCGGTGGTTTTAGAGAACCCGTCTGAGCTCTAGTGATCATTGGATGTCTTACTTGCGCGGGGTTAGATGTGTTGCGGACGGTGATATCACTGTGGTTAAGCGGAGGAGGATGTATGGGAGACGCTGCGAGGATATGCGTGGGATTGGTTGAGGTAGACGCCTGGAGCTGAGAAGCTGTATGCGGCATATGGAACTCGGTTGATTTAGACGTGGGCAGAAGCAATGAGGGAGGATGATCCGATGAAGATATCTGCAATGACGGGTTATTAGTAGCGAATGGAAACGAACATTCAACAAATTGAACGTGTCGCGAGATAAAAGATTTTTGAGAGTCCCTGTCGAGGCAAATGTAGCCTTTATGCCGATCTGAGTATCCCATGAAGACGTGAGATTTTGATTTCGGATCAAATTTCGTCCGTGTATGAGATGGAAGGAGCGGGAAGCATTCGCACCCGAAGACCCGAAGATGAGTATACTCGGGATTAGTATGAAAGAGCAGCTGCAGGGGAGATTTGTTTTGGGTGTTAGGTGAGGGCATCCTGTTAATCAAGTAAACGGCGGTTGCAGTGGCCTCGGGCCAATATTGGAATGGCATAGAGGCTTTGTGAAGCAAGAACCGGACTGTCTCCACAATGTGACGGTTCTTACGCTCGGCTACTCCGTTTTGCTCCGGAGTATAAGGACAGGACATTTGATGACCGATCCCTTTAGAATGTAGAAAAGATTTCATGGCGTAGTTGTTAAATTCTGTTCCGCCGTCCGTCCTGAGAATCTTAATAGATTGCTTCGTTTGATTTTCAATAAACTTGGTAAATGTAATAAATGTTGAAGTAACCTCAGACTTATGAATAATTGGAAACAACCAGGTATAGCGAGAAAAATCATCAACGAATATAACGAAAAAACGAAAGCCGTTAGTAGAACAAATCGGTGACGGACCCCAGACATCGGAGTGCACAAGTGAAAGTGGTGTGTTCGTCCTAGAAGCAGAAATTTCAAAGGGAAGTTTATGCAGTTTGCATTGAATACAGGTAGTACAAGAGGAGTTTACAGAAGATATATGTAAATCCGAATTGCTTTGAGCTATGTTCTTCAAGATCTTGAAATGCGGATGTCCCAAACGATCGTGCCAGAGGGAGTTCGGGTTCGTGTAGGCGGTGCAGGCGAGTTCCGGAGAGGTAGTAGTAGTGGTAGGTGTAATCTTGTAGAGACCTGCTTTACAAGGACCGCGTAGAAGCTGCTTGTTTGTCGTTAGATCCTTACATACAAAACCGGAGGGGTCAAACGTAATTGAAATGTTGTTATCTTTAACGAGTTGAGAGATGGATAGAAGATTGTAAGAAATTTTTGGAACGTGCAGCAAATTAGATAAGAGAAACTTACGATTCGGGGTGGGAAGAATACCCGTGCCCGAGTGGGCGATCGGGATGTTCCTGCCGTCCCCGATGAAGATACTATCGTTGCCCATATAGGGAGAGGATCGACTGAGGTTGTCGCTGTTGTTCGTCATGTGCGAAGAAGCCCCTGTGTCTAAGTACCAGTCTGGAGACGGAGCTTCTGAATTTGCGGCGAGGGCGGTGTTCTGTTTAGGAGTATTAGACTGCGGGATATAATTGGCATTCATCCTGTGCCAGCATGCGTCTGCCGTATGCCCTTTCTTGAGGCAAATTTGACAGACAGGAATCGACTGCTGCTGGCCGGTGCGAGAAGCCGACTGGGGTGCCTGAACGAACGTCCGCGGTTCCTACGACCGCGGCCCCTGTTAGAATACAGGGCAGATTGCTGGATCGTGTCGGTATGGAGACGGGCAGCGTCGACATTGACATGAATTTCTTCACTTATTAGCATTGCATAGAGATTTTCAAGCCGAAGGGGTAGGGGATAGTTACGAACGTATGTCTTGAACAATTGATACGCCGGAGTTAACCCGTTCAAGATGTGTAAGATGATGTCCTCGGAGTCGATGGAGGATCCAGCGGAGGCGATTTGATCGACGAGCTTCTTGATCTCTGTGAGGTATTGCGTCATGGAGAGGTTTTTCATCGACACGTGATGAAATTCATTGCAGAGCTGAATGACTTTGGAGCGGCTAGTGGCTTGAAATTGACTTTCTAGTGCTTGCCAGATTTCGTGAGTTGTGTCGAGATGGATGATGTAGGGTAGCACCGCCGAAGATATCGTAGAGCAAACCGCAGCTTGAAGGTTCTGATCGGTGATCTTCCAATTCTTGATGACGGGATCAATATCGGAATCGGAGGCATTACCGGAATGCGTGGGCGGTGCCAAGAACTGCTCGAAGTCATTTGCCCGAAGGAGCTTGAGAACCTGATGACGCCAGATCGGATAGTTGTCCGGTGACAATTGATGTAGAACTAGAGTCTTGAGATTTGATACAACGAACTTGAGTGAATGGGATATTGGGGAGTTCTCGGTCGGATTTCTTGATTGCTGTTCCGTAGCTGAGGAGGAAGCGGAATGGGAGTTCGTCATTGTTGAGGACGAGAAGTAGAAGGAGAGGAAACGAAAGGCCTGATACCATGTAGAATTGGATGGATCGGCGGATCGTCGGAGCGAGCCGGAGACAAGGAAGATGAACAAGAAATGGAAAAGCTGTATTGTCTTATTCACCGTATCCGTTATACAGTAGATAGTTTAAATAGATAAGAGATGACAGGTTGAACACGTGTCATTTTGTTATTGGCTACAATTGTGTAAGCTGTAATTATACTAAGCATCTATCCTAATAGTGAACACAGCACCTCATCATAAAAGAAATAGCTAATGCATGAGTTAGAGCCGACATAAGTCAAGACCTTGAGGCAACCTGAGGTTGACCTCTAGGCAAGGCGACTTGAAGTCGACTCCTGTGGATGATTTGTGTAGATCTCGGAAAAATCTAAATCGCCTACAGGATGGGTGAAGTTGTTCATAAGCAACTTTCTAAGATTCAGTGGGGCTATAGATGTTGGCAGGGAAAAAAGAGAAGTTATTCATGGCACTGAGAAGATGTCAAGCAAGGGCGTCAGCAGAAAATCTACAGGAGGAGACTCAAGGGCTTATGTCCTGAAAAAAATATAAATTTTATAATAAAACTCTTCTACATATATGTGTACAACATATAAAAAAGTCTTGAGATATACACACCTGCATGCATCTCTGAACTATAAATATTTTGCAATATCACTTATGTACATAGCTGTGTATAAATCTTAAATACATTTACTATTAATACAACCTTTTCACGTATATGCTCATTTCGTATCCTATCTCTAAGGGTCAAGCCACTCATCCACCTAAGCATCCTCATATCTGCAACACTTAACAAGCTTTGAAAAACTGGGGATATAAATTTTTTTTTTATATACATTGAATATATATATATATATAGTGTCATTACACAATAAATTATAAGAACCTAATAGAAAATCTATCAAAATTTTATTGAAAATTTCGTAAAATACATTGCAAGGAGTGTACTAGGAATCGCTTGCATGATCACGAAATGGCAGCACAAGCTCTGAAAACTGGGGATGGGCCAATAAGCAGGTTTGTGATGAATCAATTAACGTAGAGATGAAAAGAACTCCTTTATGAATGTTAGTAAGCTGGAAAATTATGGAGAAGAGTTCGGGTTTAGTCAACAAAAATTTTGAGGTGATGCAGTCATGTAGAGCTAGAGTGAAGCTTCAGTTTGACAGTTGAACTTTAGTCTTCTTCTCTGTAACCATCTTCTCTGCACCATCACTGGAACCTGTTATTGGCAGCCTGAGAAAAAAAAAAAGTTCTCCATGGCTGCATTTACTATATTTCTTGCTACTCTCGAGTCAATGAGCATATCAATGAGGCTAAGGCACACATTATGTTCACATTATCACATAGCCTGTGAATACTTGATCACCAAAAACATTTTGTAAACCTGATTTGATAGCATTGCCTCTGAATAAAGAGAAATCCTCCGGAAAAGTTTAAAGTTAAAGCATTTGTTGCTCCTACAGCAATGGTAAAGTCCAACTTGACCCAGGAACTCGTTTTACTTCACTGCATTCCATAAGTTCTCTCACTCTTTTTACACCATCCCAATTTCTTGTTTTCGCTAACATATTTGATAGCAAAACATAAGTTGATGGATCTTTTTTCTCAATAGCAAGCACATTCTCAGCTGCTCTCTTCCCTATCTCCAACTCACCATGAAGCCGACAAGCACCGAGCAACGTTTGCCAAACAAGCACAGTAGGCTGGAATGGCATGCCAAGTATCAGATCTTCAGCCTCTCTAAGCTTTCCAGCTTTCCCAAGCAGATCAACCATACAACAATAATGATCTTCTCCTGGCCAAATGCCATAATCATTTACCATAGATATAAAGTAATTCCATCCCTCATCAACAAACCCACCTTGGCTGCAAGCATATAAAACACATATCAATGTGATATAATTTGGCTTTGCATTGGATGAGATCATTTGTTCAAACACCTCTATGGCTTCCAAAGCAAATCCATTCTGAGCAAATCCCATAATGACTGTAGTCCATGAAATGACTGACCTCTCCCTCATGAACCAAAACACTGAAAAGGCATCTTTCATGGAACCACATTTAGAATACATGTCGACCAGAGCGTTATCCACACATTCATCCACTTCAACGCCCAACTTAATCCTGAATCCATGAACCTTCTTTCCTTGTTCTAAAGAAGACAAACTAGCACAAGCATTCAGTTCAGTGGCTAATGTGAACTTGTTGGGAGAGATACCAGCTGCCTTCATTAATTTGATAATTTCTATGGCTTCGGAAGGCTGCCCACAATGTAGGCAGCCAGAAGCCATCTGGGTCCAAGCAGCCACATCTTTTTCCGGCATTCGATTAAACACTTTAAATCCATCAGCCAAATTCTGGTTTTTAATATACATATGTAACAATGAGTTCCCCACGCATATTTCATCATTGAAACCAAACTTTACAAGTTGGGCATGGACTTTTAACCCATTATTCAAGTTCAAACTTGTCGCTAACCCAGTAAGAACGCTACTAAACGTGTACTCATCAGGACTTACACCTTCCAGATTCATCTGAAGCCATAAATCCCATACCTTGACACAGTCAAATTGTAGATATCCAGCAATCATAGAATTCCATGTAACTACATCCCTAATAATGCATTTCTCGAACAACTCCACGGCTTCTTCGAATACTTCATTTCTTATCAAAGCCATGAGAAAAGCATTAATAAGGAACGCATTGGACTCGAAGCCAAGGCGGATAACTTGGGAGAATACCTGACGTGCTTGAGATGGGCCACCTGAGAGTGAACCGGCGTGGAGGGCGCTTACAAGCGCGAATTCATTTGGGCGAGTACCGCAGCGAAGCATTTGGTTGAAAAAGGAGAGAGCTTGACGAGCATGGCCGCTTTGAACGAGGCCGGCGATGGCAATGGACCACGAAACGAAATTGTGTTGGGGCATTTCGTCGAATAGTTGGAGTGGAAGGGAAACGTCGGCACAAGACTTTAAGTACATGTTGAGGAGGTGGTTCTGTAAGAAGAGAGAGGAGGAAAGAAGGGAGCTTTTGAAGAGGAGAGAGTGGATGGCGGCGCCAAGGCGGTGGTTTGATGTGCGGGCGCATCGCTGGAGGAGTCGGGAGAAGTGTTCGGCTTCAATTTCGGGATTGAGGGAGGAGAAAAGTCTGCTGAATGGAAGAACAGCACTAGCTGGTAGTGGAAATCGGGTACTGTATTCTGAAAGAAACGAGGGAAGGGCCATTCATTCCCTCCAGATAATTCATTCGTTGGCTTCTCTAACTATAAAAAGAAAAAAAAAAGAGGATATATATGTTAATTATATATATCATATTTATTTTTGGAATAATTTATATATATGCCATATAAATTTTATTTATTTTTATATCTAGAATTAAAATTTTAATATTAATTTATATAATACATTAATATCTTAATCACATAAAAAATATATATATATTTCATTTAAAAAAATTAATATCAATGATATTTTTTATATGATTGAATATTTTATAAGTAAATATCAAATTTTAGCTGTCACATATTTAATTCATAAGATTTGTACGAATTCAAGTTAGATATTTTACAATTTATCTCACAACATCCAAAATAAATAAATAAAAAATTATTTCAAACTTAAAATTACTCATAATCTTTTTTTAATAACATGGTATTTTACTTTAATATTTATCTTATATTCTTAATATAACAAATATATGGCTCTTCACATCAATATAATATTCTAAAAGCACTAATCTCAACGCTGAGAAGATAAACGCGAATGATAAGAAAGAATTCTATGTTAAGGGAAAATGTTAAAATTGCACACGTGCCTTCATCCGAGGCCGTTGGTTGGCGTTCGTCTTGCGAACCTCATAGCGGATTTTTTTGGAGAATAGTCGGTTCCTTCGTTTTTCTTTGTACCTCTGCACGCTGGCTTCTCGCATTGCTCCATCTCTCATTTCGAGCAATAGTTCATTGTCCGTCAAACTGACCTGCCACACTTCCCTTTATTAATGCTAACAAAATTATTATCAATTCCACTCTTAATTATTCTATCAAGAAAAGCTCAGAATGAATAATTGATCGAAGAATAAACATTTTTTCTATTTTGACTAACTTCAATAAAAATAGTTACTCAAATTTTTAGGAAAGATTTTTTTTTCTATTTTGTACATAAAATTATACCTTTCACAATTTACCTGCCCTCAAAAGAGGATTAATTATTCTGTGTGATCACAGGACGTCATCCGGAGTCGAAGCATAACGTTTTATGTTATTTTTTGCTGGGTGCACCGGGTGACGTGACACATTCTGAATCTCAAATCTCCTCTAAACGATTTGATGACCGCACAGAATAATTTCTCTTAAAAGAGACTGAATTGATCCGTTAACTTTTTTTGAATGATTAAAATGATTCTTAACTATATAATAGAGATCAAATTAGTCCTTTTGTGACATCATTTACGCCTCAATTTGAAAAATAAAAAGACAAATAAAATTTTCAAATAATTAGAGTATATCATTGTTTCTGTACAAAGTGAGAGAACATTTTCCTCCTCATCTGTAATTGCACTAATCTCAAAGTAAATTCAAGAGCTATTAAATTTATTATGATGCAATTTATTTAAGAAATTATGATGATTATATATAT